TCAATAAAACAAGGATTGTACATAGAACAATATCGGAGCTCTGAAAAGTAGAAGCATGCATATGTACTCAGTACTTGGTTTGGGCCCCTTTTGCAGGCAATTACTGCCTCAATGTGGCGTTCTGGGTATGGAAGCTATTAGCCTGTGGCACTGCTGAGGTGTTATGGAAGACCAGGATGCTTCAATAGCGGCCTTCAGCTCTTCTGCATTGTTCGGTCTCATGTCTCTCATCTTTCTCTTAGCAATGCCCCATAGATTCTCTATGGGGTTCAGGTCAGTCGAGTTTGCTGGCCAATCAAGCACAGTAATCCCACGGTCATTGAACCAGGGTTTGGTGCTTTTGGCAGTGTGGGCAGGTGCCAAGTCCTGCTGAAAATGAAGTCAACATCCCCATAAAGCTCGTCTGTGGAAGGAAGCATGAAGTGCTCAAAATCTCCTGGTAGACGGCTGCATTGACCCTGGACTTAATGAAGCACAGTGGACCAACACCAGCAGATGACATGGCTCCCCAAATCAACACAGACTGTGGAAACTTCACAATGGACTTCAAGCATCTTGCAGTGTGTGCCTCTCCATTCCTCCTCCATACTCTGGGTCCTTGGATTTCCAAATGAGATGCAAAAATTGCTCTCATCAGAAAAGAGGACTTTGGACCACTGAGCAACAGACCAGGTCTGTTTTTCTTTAGCCCAGGTAAGACGCTTCTGACGTTGTTTGTTGTTCAGGAGCGGCTTGACAAGAGGAATACGACATTTGAAGCCCATGTCCAGGATCCGTCTGTGTGTGGTGGCTCTTGATGCACTGACTCCAGCCTCAGTCCACTCCTTGTGAAAGTCCCCAACACTTTTGAATGGCCTTTTCCTGACAATCCTCTCCAGGCTGCGGTCATCCCTGCTGCTTGTGCACCTTTTTCTTCCACTCTTTTCCCTTCCACATAACTTTCTATTAATGTGCTTTGATACAGCACTTTGGGAACATCCAACTTCTTTTACAATTACCTTTTGAGGCTTTCCCTCCTTACGGAGGGTGTCAATGATGGTTTTCTGTACAACTGTCAGGTCAGCAGTCTTTCCCATGATTGTGATTCCTACTGAACCAGACTGAGAGACCATTTAAAGGCTTAGGAACCCTTTGCAGGTGTTATGGCTTAATTAGCTGATTAGAGTAGGACACTTTGAGCCTAGAATATTGCACCTTTTCACAATATTCTAATTTTCTGAGATTGTGGATTTGGGGTTTTCATGAGCTGTAAGCCATAATCATCACAATGATGACAAATCACGGCTTGAACTATCTTGCTTTGCATGTAATGAGTCTATCTCATATATTAGTTTCACCTTTCAAGTTGCATTACTGAAATAAATTAACTTTTGCACGATATTCTAATTTTTCGCGTTTCACCTGTATATCACCAATGCAAGCCTTAATGGAAGCTGCAATTCTAATTGGCTATCCAAATGAATGTGAGGCAATACTACCAAAGTCTATTCTTCCAGTGTTTCAGTGGCATTTTATGAATTTCAGCACAGCTGTAAAGCATCATAAAAGCATGACATCCAATCAGCAAAATGGTAGGGGAATGTAATTTTTTTATTCCTCATGGTATATGAATATAAGGTTTTGACTAACTTTTAGACTAGGTTCACAAACGTGTGGGTGGTGCGGCTGTGGATCCACAGGAAAATCCGTGCAACCGCACCACCCACACAGGAATGCGGACCCGCGGACAGGTGCCATTAGCTCTAATGGCACGCCAACCGCACTGGAAAACGCAACCGTACTGGATACGTCCCGTGCGGGCTGTGTTTTCAGAAGTGCAGGGACTTCTCTGCGTGTCACGGGAGTCCATTCAAATGAATGGGCTCGTGTGCCCGTGCAAAATGCAGCCCGCAGGAACGCACATATGTGAACCAAATAAGCTGCCAACTTCTCAACTTTAGAATAACATCCCTGGCATGTCCCAGTATACTCACCAACCACAAAATATAAAAGGCTCTATCTTGTCACAGGAAAGGAGTCCTTGCGTTCCAGTGAAGTGCCTTTGTCTGATGTCCAGAGTCTGCAGCTGGAAGATTCTTTTCCTCAGTCTCCCCCCTCCCCTGAGACCTCAGGTTGCAACATTGCAACTTTTTAATAAGTCAGCAGGTGCTGGTCTGAGCAGAGATTTGTGAACCCAGCCATGACCTGCACAGACATCAGGGTCACACTACTGTACTATATCAAAGCAAGCATATCAGTCCTAAAAGTACATGCGGACCCTGGATGATGCCTGAACAAAGATGGTTCTTTTGTATTGAAAACACAAAGATGAAGGTGTAGCCATGGGGAGCACTGTGATATCTGAGCGGTAATACCTGGATTACACCTACACATCACTCAGCATGCTTGCTGTCAACATGAAAAGATACATCTCATACTTGATCCTCCTTGACCTGCCTGAAGGCATCAGATAAGACCGGAGGTGTAACCTCTATCACTTAGCTCCTACCTTATCTACAGCTGACCATGTAATCCAATTGCATATTCTACTGCAGATTTACCAACAACTCCGCAGGACATGGGTCTGACTGACTATGGGTTTGAAAGAATTGTTTAGGCAGGCTCTTTGTGTGGTATATCTAAAAAATAAGGCAACCAAAAACTACCATATATTACCAGATTTAGGGGAACAATAATGATCAGCTGAAGAAAAAAAAAACCCACAACTTTTCAGACACCATGCTCCTCCAAACATTAAGCAGAATGAGGGCCCCCTTGACACCTGAGTGTTTTAGGCTCCACGTACACTGCATCTGATACACTCACGTTTAGGAGCTTTTCTGTGTTTTTTTCAGCAGCCCCTGAACTCTCCCTAATGTTTTCCTATGTGTCCATGTACACATCATTGTTTACAGGCAGTTGCGTTTCCAGTCATTTTTTTTGAACGCACCAAACTTACGTTCAGGAGTAGATTTTATCAGCGTTTTACATGCCAAACGCTTGTAAAGGCGGCTAACTGCGTTTATAAGCATTTGGAAATTTTTTTTTAACTATTCCATTTCCAGATGCCATCCAGAGCCTTTTTTCATCATGAAAAATGCATACAAAGTGTTTTCCCCGGTACTCAAATGGACCTGGTACACCATACTTCGCATGAAAGAAAATATGTTAGGCGACACATGAGAAGTAGATCTGAAGATCATCAAGCACGGACTATGATGATCTTCTTCCACAACCACAGCAGCCAATGATGAAAGCTCTGAAACCAGAAATGACAAAAACCTCTGGCTTCATTCATTACAGAGGTGACCAGCGAATAGATGGGACCCGCTGTAATGTGTGTGGAAGTGATCAGGAAGCTTTACAGCTCCCTGAATAACCAACTAGAAATCCAGAACAGATGTGGACAGACTCCATTTACAGGGCTGTGCTGCCATTGGCGTTTAGTACGTATGTTCCTGGCAGAGACAGGGTTAAAGAAAATGGACTATGCGGTCAAGGAATCCTAGGAAGTTAGAAAGTTCAGGTTTTAAAAACTTTGTATAATGTAATTGCCATACCTGCAAGGCCATTTGCAGCAAACCCAAAGTCTGTCAGAAAAACTCATTGTTAGCATACCCCGTCCTGCCTTGCTGCCAGGATACACAGAGCAGGCCACAGGCATCCTAGATACGAGGGATCTCCGCAGTACAAAAGTCTAGAGGAGAGAGAGCACACATGTGCAGCTCTTAACCACTTGCCGACCGCGCATAGCCGAATGACGGCTGCACCGCGGCCCGGCTAGTTCTGGGTGGACGTCATATGACGTCCTCCAGAACGCGCTCTCCTGCGCGCCCCAGGGGGCGCGCACCCCGCGATCTCCGTGATCGCTGGTCCTACGGACACACCAACGCATCACGAGATGTGGTGAAAGGCCGATCCCACCGGCCTTTTACCACGTGATCAGCGGTGTCCAATGACACGCTGTCACAGGAAAATGCAAGTGCCGGTTCTCGGCTGCACCCTCACGCTGTCAGATCGTGAGGAAAGTACTGCCAGAGAACCGCAGTTGTCAGAGCGGGGATCGGTCACCGATCATCAGGGCACTGATGATCAGTGCCCTGATGATCGGTGCCCAGCAGTGACCCCCGCAAGTTCCTCACAGCAGTGCGCCCACTAGCCCCGCCCATTCACTATGCCCAGCAGTGCACCCACCAGGCCCAGCATTGCACCCACCTGTGCCCCCACCTGTGCCACTCTGCATGCCACCTACCTGTGCCCAGAAGTGCCACCTACATGTGCCAGCAGTATCCACCCACCTGTGCCCCCCACCTGTGGCCACCAGTGCCACCCACCTGTGCCCACCAGTGCCACCCACCTGTGCCCACCCACCAGTGGTGCCCACCAGTGCCGCCGCATTCCCCACCAGTGCAGCCCAGCAGTGCTGCCCACCAGTGCCCCCCAGTCAGTGCCCAGGGGTTGTGCCAGTCAGTGCCGCCAGTCAGTGCCCAGAAGTGATGCCAGTCAGTGCCGTCTATCAGTACCCATAATCAGTGTCACCTATCAGTGCCGCCTATCAGTGCTGCATATCAGTGCCGCCTATCCGTGACCCCTAATTAGTGCTGTCTATCAGTGACCCTATCCGTGCCACCTCATTAGTACTGCCTATCAGTGCCCTTTAGTGCTGCCTATTCACAGTGCCCATCAGTGCCCCGCCTCATCAACGCAAATCAGGTGAAGAAGAAAAAATACCTGTTTGAAAAATATAAAAGAAACAAATAAACTTTTTTTTTTTTTCAAATTTTTTGCACTTTTTTTAATTTATAGCGCAAAAAGTAAAGCGCCCAGTGGCGATTAAATACCACCAAAAGAAAGCTCTATTTGTGAGAAAAAAAATGATCAAAATTTCACTATATGGGTACAATGTTGCATGACGGCGCAATTGTCAATCAAAGTGCGGCAGCGCTGAAAGCTGAAAATTGGCCTGGTAAGGAAGGGGGTATAAGTGCCTGGTAGGCAAAGGGGTTAAAAGTGTTCCTAAACTCAGTACCCCGCATTCACTATATCCGGTCCCCCAGGACCCCGCATTCACTATATCCGGTCCCCCAGGACCCCGCATTCACTATATCCGGTCCCCCAGGACCCCGCATTCACTATATCCGGTCCCCCAGGACCCCGCATTCACTATATCCGGTCCCCCAGGACCCCGCATTCACTATATCCGGTCCCCCAGGACCCCGCATTCACTATATCCGGTCTCCCAGGACCCCGCATTCACTATATCCGGTCTCCCAGGACCCCGCATTCACTATATCCGGTCTCCCAGGACCCCGCATTCACTATATCCGGTCTCCCAGGACCCCGCATTCACTATATCCGGTCTCCCAGGAGGACCCCGCATTCACTATATCCGGTCTCCCAGGACCCCGCATTCACTATATCCGGTCTCCCAGGACCCCGCATTCACTATATCAGGTCTCCCACAGTACACAGAACATGGAAATGCAATTATTTTAGTAAATATAAAACTGCTAAATATCTTTTCTCATCAGCAGTTAGAACAGTCTTGTGACTTCTATCAGTGACCAGCAGAGCACTGGTTAAAGCTTGTAGGAGTTTTCTTTCTGCTCTAGGATACAAAACCCCTGACCTGTCGGGACAGTGCTGATTGGCCCTGTGTTGATCACATGAACTCTCCCAAGAGAAAAAAAAACAAAAAGCAAACAGACTTGTGTAGCAATACACACCAAACTGAGCATGTGCAGTAGGGCTACAGGTTCAGTCTGTCTTGTCAACGTGGACACTTGAACAAGAGGAGGAGCAGCGAAGACAGGATCAAACAGCCTTTTTGCACAATGCAGAGGATTAACCCCTTAAGTTCAACAGTGAGTATAACAAGCATACTTTACTGCATATACAGACTGATTTTACTGTTCTGTGTTTAGGAACACTTTAAGCTAGGGAGAGAGCTCTATTCTGTGATGCCGGGGGTCAGCCCTCAACATACAGAGAGTCCTGGCAATTAGGTAGGATAGGCAATGCTAGCAATATGGGAGTTTTTCAGCAAGGCTTTGGGGGCGTCACAAACGGCCTACAGGTAAGGCAGTTACAGCAGTGTTCAAACCTACAAAGCGCATTCTAACCTCCTAGGGCCCCTTGACTGCACAGTCCATTTTCTTTTAAGCCTGGGAAAAAGTAAAATAATCCTTTGCAGTGGGGCTGCCCAAGCGTTAGCAGCTCATTTTGTCTAGGAGAGGGAAGAAACAGTTTCAATTACCTGATCTTCCGATCCAACACTGTGGCAGTGAACTGTCCCTCATTATCATTACATCCAGTGCAGGGCTATGGACCCTGCTTCAATCTTAAGGTCAGGAACTCAGACCGCTGGAACATGGGGAGAAGTAGCTGCGATGGAGTCTAGCTTTGGAAAGCAGTGATGGATCGGGTCAGATTTCCACTGCAAAAGGATCTTTTTTTAGTTGCCCGGAGTTTGCCTTTAAAGGCCCATTCACCCCAGAGGCGCTGGCAGCCATTTTTGGCACAGCCCCAACATATAGACAAGGCAAAAAAATCTTGCTTTTTTGTGTCAGTATACACACACACAAAAATAAAGTGCCAGAAAAAAAAAAGTTCAACATACTCTCTTCCAGTGTGACAGGTTGCAATATTAACCAGTGCCCAAGACACCAAGCCACATGAAAATGGCCGCTCTGCAAGCATTAGGACACAGCCAGTCAGCAAGTTCCCCCAGAAGACTTACACAAGTCAAAATTTTTGCCTTCCTCTGGATCAACTGAGTGTAGGATTATAACTTTTTTTTTTTCCTATGGTTGAACTGGATGGACTTTTCTTTTTTCAGCCAGACTAACTATGTAAAATCTCACACTGCCAGTGTACTTGATCCTAAACAAGCACCCTACCAACCAGTACTCCTATGGAGAGAAAGGGTCCCCTGGAGTAAATGAAATCCAGACCCCCTTCCAGGGACGCCTGAGCTACATACCTCCCCAGGATCACTGCCCCTGTTCTGGGATGCTTTAGCTGGGAGGCCCCTGCCACCTAGCATGCAGGCCTGACAGGAAAAAGTAAAAAGACTTCTGTGCACCTGTCCTGGCCGGAGAGAAAACACACATACTGAGGGTCTGATAGTTAAACATGTCTTTATATAATGTGGATCATTTCCTGTGCTAGGCAGGAGGAACCTATCTCCCTCTCGTAAGCCATTGTAGAAGATGTTTTTGGAAAAATAAAGTGCCAAAAAAGTACCGCATGCACTACTTTTTTCAGCATGATGGGTTGCACTACTAACCGCTACATCACAACACTGCTGCGGTGCATAGAACTGTACTGAAATGCCACTGGTGACACTTCACTGGGAATCCACTCACATAATAGTGTGCTGGCACCCCCCCCCAAAGAGTGCCAACACAAGGACCTGTGAAAAAAGGTATGAGAATGGAAGGAGTTCACAATGGGGCATTGCACTGATGAGCGCTGGAATAGATGAGAGCAAACCCTACTTTTTTTTGTCCAGGGCAACGCTGCAAAGTGCCCCGTGTATTAACACAGAGGCAAAACTGCACCTCCGCACACGTTCAGCTCCTCTGCCATCCTGTAGACCCTTTGCATCTGCCAGGATGCAAGGAGAAAAGTGCATGGTAGATTACAAAACACCATGCCAATGCATTTACCTGCTGTCAACACACATGATGTGGTGTGAATGGACCCCAAGGGCCCATTCACTGTGGCTTAGTGTGCAGAAACTGTAGGGGCAGTTTGGTTTAGTGTGCAGCAGCTGTTTTGGAGGTAGGGGCGGTGAGATGTGTGTTTCAGTGCATTAAAGAACCCCCCTCTTTTTTGACTCAACCTTTTTTGAAGTGTACAAAGTGACACTTCGTTCACAGCAGCGCACTGTGCCACGCAATCCCATCCTGTTACCTTTGATAAAGTGCAGCATATCTGCCTTTTATCGCAGCTCTGGGCTGCACTGCAATTTGAACAGTGAAAGTACAGGAATTAAACTAAAAAATGGAAACACTACATGATTTACAGGTGTGAAAGTGATGACATGTTTCACCTTGAAAGTGGAAGTGATGTAAGATTCTTCTGCTGTGTGATGAGACACCTAACAGGTCTGAAGCCTCACTTTCGTCATTCACTGTGTGCAATGCTAGTAATACGGAGTCATGTCCAACCTATCCTTCCAGCACCAAGTCCAATCTTTAACAAACTCGTGCAGACTCCACCTCCGCAACATCTCCAAAATCCGCACGTTCCTAACCCAGAAACCACTAAACAGCTCATCCACTCCCTCATCATATCACGACTCGACTACTGCAACTCCCTCCTCACTGGCCTGCCTCGCCGCTGGCTATCCCCGCTTTAGTCGATGCTGAATACGGCTGCCAGACCCATTCACCTTTCCAACCGCTCTGTCTCTCCAACCACCCCCCTCTGCCAATCCCTCCACTGGCTTCCGATTGCACAACAGATCAAATTCAAAATCCTAACACTGACGTACAAAGCTGTCCACCATACTGCCCCGAACTACATCACTGACCTAATATCCAAGTATCGCCCAGCACGCACACTCCGCTCCTCACAAGACCTCCTTCTCTCGAGTTCCCTGGTCTCCTCCTCCCATGCCCGCCTCCAGGACTTCTCCAGGGTGTCACCCATCCTCTGGAACTCCCTGCCCCAACCCATCAGATTATCACCTACTCTCCTATCCTTTAGTCGCACCCTGAAAACCCATCTCTTCAGGGAAGCCTACCCCACCCCCTGCTAACTTGCCGACCTCCTCCACTCTTCCTACCACTCCATCCCCCACAGCTATCTCCTCCTGTACCACCATCCCCTCCCTCCTAGATTGTAAGCTCGAAAGAGCAGGGCCCTCGATCCCCTCATGTTTTGCATTGTATTGGTATTGTTCTGTCACATGGTCTGTCCCCCTTTGTAATGTACAGCGCTGAGCGAACTATTGGCGCTTTATAAATACTGTATAATAATAATAATAAATGTCAGAGCTTTCTGAGCATCAAAGAGGGCAAATTGCTGGTACGGTACCTCTGTGACCGAAGTTGCCAATTTATTTGCAATGTTGCTAGGTACAGTATGACAGGTGATGACAGCATATAGAGTTCATGGGAAACATCGTCTGACAAGCAGTCGACATGGTAAACTGACCGAAAGAGACAAAAGAATATTGTGCAGCATTGTGACCCAGAAAAATTGACTGTAGAGCTTAATCTCAGTCTTCACAGGACTCGGTCTTCAGGGGACAGAGATTGAGCTCTGCAGTTACTTTTACAGCAGTTGTTTTCTTATTTCGGGTCACAATCGTGCACAATCTCTTTCGGTCAGTTGACCATATGCCATCATCACCTTTGATACTGTACCTCGCGATACAGCAAATAAATCGACAACTTCAGTTACAGAGGCACCAGCTAAGCGGTCACCAACAATTTTGCTTCTGTGAAGCTCAGTAAGCTCTGACATGACTCCATATTTACTAGCAGTGCACACAGTGAATGATGAAAGTGAGGCTTCCCCCATTAGCTAGGTGTCTCAATATACAGCAGAAGCAAAAGAATGTTACATCACTTCCACTTTCACACCTGCAAATCATGTGGCGTTTCCATTTTGTGTCTAACCCGTTTGTCACCAGCACACCATGGATCTCCAGAACAGGTCCAACGCTTTAAGTAATCACACCATAATAACTGAAGCAAGTTTTCAGAGCCACCCAGGCCCCTTCATCAAGCATATAACACATTCCTGATAAAGGGGCCCTGTGTGGCCCTGAAACATTGCTTCAGTTGTTTTGATGTGATCGCTGAATAAAGCTTGGAACTGTTCTGGAGATACATGGTGTGCTGGGGACATACTTTCACTTTGAATGTCTCTGGTTTCCAGCTGGCGGTTGCTGCAGCACCCCTCTACATATACAGGCATTCTGCAGGAATGCGCATGTTGGGAATACCATGTTTGCATTGTCACAAGTACACATGCTTTTGCTCAATCACTACTGGCAATGACGGGGGGGGGGGGGGGGGGGGGGAATATCACTTCTGCTGATGTGGAAGAAGAGGAGTTGGTGGATTGGTGGAGATGCCTGGGTGCAGAAGTCCTAACCACAGCACCACCTGCCTGAAGTTTGCATGTTCTCCCTGTGCGGGTTTCCTCCCACACTCCAAATACATGCTAAGTTAATAATAAGCGCTGCGCAAACTGTTGGCACTATATAAATCCTGTATAATAATAGGCTCCTGTCTAAATTGTGTGTGCATGAATGGGACCTTAGACTGTAAGCTCCTTGAGGGCAGGGACTGATGTGAATGTACAATACACACACTATATTGCCTATAGTATTGGTCCAGCCCTCCAAATATTGGATTCAGATGTTCCAATCACCTCCATGGTCACAGGTGTATACAATCAAGCACCTAGGCATGCAGACTGCTCCTACAAACATTTGTGATAGAA